GGAACGAACGAAACAGGCATGATCATCGCGGAGGCGACTCAGGTCGGCAACGACGGGCAGGGTTACCCTTTGACCCCCGGTATCTACACCCCGGAACAGATTGCCGGGTGGAAGAAAATCACCGCTGCCGTCCACGCCAAGGTTGGTCCCGGCGTCGTGTGTAAACCCTGTTGCACACAGTGGCACGCGAACTGTCGGCTGTCTCCCCTTACGGACATGCGATGTGCCTGGTCCTCCTTCCTTTTTGAGCTAGCTTCGGATCAGCTTATTTCGCTGCGCCGCAAGGGGTGCTACCGCCAACATTTGCAGAACGTTCCCAGTTTGCACCCTATGACAGTTTATTTGCTTGGGGTGCCGCAGCCACCATCTACACCATTTTGCACCTAACCCTACGACAGTGCACTTCACATTAAAAACGGCAGCAGCGGCGACAACGACTTATCAGTCAGTGCCGTAACGCCTTGTCGCCAACATCCCCACGCAGGGTGCCAAGATGGTCTGCCAGATTTGGCACTGTGGCAGGATCAGCCACGAGAGCTATCAGCCGGAGGGGCGCGCACCGCTCGCACCATCGGCCCTGGCATGCCCCGCAGGGGAGTGCATGACCATGGAGGGGCCCAAGGTGCGTGAGGCAGGGGTTCTTACAAGCGTTTGGTATCTCGCCGCAGGGTATTTTCTTGGATCGGGAGGGCGGCTGGCTCCTATGATCCGCTCTTTTGTTGTTGCGGCGTTGTTGCAAGCGCTTCGAGGAGCACTCTGTGGCTGCAAAGGTGGTGGTCTGCACAAGATGCCCAGGTGCAGGGTTGGAGACACCTGCTTATGGCGGTTGGGGTCGACTTGATGACGAAACGCTGCCGCGACTCGTGAACGAGCTGTAGATTAGACCACGCGCAGAAACGTAACCTTGAAACGTTCTTTGGCACAGCAGTCCGACACGTTTTTCCTTTGATCTCCTTGTTCATGGGCAGCCGTGGCCGGTGCCGCGCGAGATGACCATCGAGGACATCAAGACCTGCGTCGAAAAGTTCCGCCAGGGCGCACTGAACGTTATGGAGGCAGGCTTCGACGGAGTGGAGGTGGGTGCTTCTGGGACGTCGAGTCCACGTTGTTGCAGGCCAGTCGGTGTACGATGGACGTCTAGCTCAGAGAAATGAGAGAGGGAGAGAGAGAAGAAGAGAGAGAGAGAGAGAGAGAGAGAGAGAGAGAGAGAGAGAGAATTGCAGTAGTGAGCAGACATCACGGCTATGGACATGCTAAGATGATGCAGACACGACGGGGATGGTTTAATCGAATTTGGTTAGCCGCCAATTCAACCCCGTAAGCATGGGGCTAAGAATCCATGAGTCGCAAGTGCAGTGTTTCGCCATTTGTCATCCAATAATCGGCCGGCTGTTCTTTGTCGTTGAGAACCGACCAGAAACTAGTCTCCCTGAATCCAGAGAGAAATCCGTGGCCTGTGTTTTTAACGTCGGAACCATAATATTGCGGGAAACGTATCTCTGAACGGTGAGTCCTTGAAAGACCGCGCGTATCGGCCCAGCTCTTGACGGGCCCGCTTGATGTCATATTTCCTGTCTACTGCTGCAGTATCTTTCGGAGACCTACCTCCCAGCAACCCCATGATTTCGAGCGACTGCTGGTGTCCTAACCACTGTTTTTCTTCTGCTTATGACATGGGATGAATGGCCAGATTCACGCCGCAAACGGGTACCTGATAGATCAGTTCCTCAAGGACAGCTCCAACAAGCGTACCGACGACTACGGGGGCTCGCTGGAGAACCGCTTCAGGCTGCTCAAGGAGATCTTGACGGCTTGCCAAGAGGCCGTCGGCAAGGACAAGGTGGGTGGTGTAAATTCAGAGCCGGCACAACCCACTACGCGGGCGATCAGCATCCCGCGAGCTGTCGTCGATTGTGTACGGGTTGAGTCTCTCGTTTAGCGATGGTTTATGTGCTGGTTTGTTCCCGACATTTCGTGTCCATTAGCTTTCGAAGCTGCGTCCACTTTCAATATCGCGGCATCACTCAACACAAGCGAGACTGAGTCGCTTTGCTTTAGCCGAGGCCAGGACCAGAGCCGGTGGAATGTGGAAGCTACTGGTGCGGGCTTCACAAGTTCAAATTCTGTGGCTAGGCACTTACTTACGCTTGGACTTTATATGGTGACACGGCACCTCCTCGGTCCGCTCCAAGACGGGCTGACTACCGACGAAATTCCCGAGCCCTTGGCCGGAAAACGGGACACAGCAGGCTTCTGACAGTGCTCTGCGTTTGACTCGAGCATGTGTTGTGTCTCATCATCTCTTCGGCCCCAAAACAGGTCGCCGTTCGTCTCACCCCGGGGGGCACATACCACGACACCAAGGACAAGGCCGAGGAGGCCACGGGCAACCACGAGTACTTCTGCCGGCAGCTCAGTGGCATGGGCCTCCTGTACCTACACATCAAGCTCGCGGACGACCAGGACGTGCGCCACGGGGGCAAGGTCGTCCCCATCGAGACGATCCGCAAGGCCTTCGACGGCGTCCTCATCTCGAACAACCGGTACGACGAGAAGGAGGACTTCGGGGAGGGCGACCTCGGCGAGAGCTACGACGCCGTGTCCTTCGGGAGGGCGTTCCTCGCCAACCCTGACCTGCCCGTTAGGTACAACATACTTGCGAGCCTTGTTTGCGTACTGGACTTTATTGCAGGCCGACGTTAATATAAGATGATGCCTACCTACATCTTGGACTTTCATCACCAGCTTTTTTTGCAGGCCGACGTTCGTAGACGATCGATTCCCCCGTTAGGTCTCGTGTTTGCATGATCAGCTTTTGCAGGAGACCGATGTTCGTAAATTGTCGATGCCCCCCTAGATCTTGTGTTTGGTTGATGAAAATTTCCTCGTCAACGTTCGTAGATGATCGATGCCCCCTTGTCGTCTCTGGTCAAGCTCTGGGTATTTCACATGCTCAACATCACCATCTAAAGCCGGTAAGAAGCCTTCGCGCGAGCGTATCCTGGTGCGGTATTTTTCTCGACAACGATGACCACAGTCCATTTAGCGGGTTTTTTCATTGGTGCGCACTCTGATCGTGGCAATTGGGCAAAAGGGTACAGCTAGCTGCCCTCAGCATCTCTCCAGCCAGTTCTCAATATCCTGTCCTTGGTTTTTGCTGCATATGCGCGCACAAGCCGCTGTTGGGACGCACCTTGACCAGAATAAAACCCCGTCGACATATGTTCCCCACGCCCATCCATTTCACCCGGCGCCCCGTTTTGGCCAGCAGTTTGGTCTGTCACTTTTTTGGAACTGTCATCTCCGTCAATCTTCGCGACACGACACGCACCACCTGCTTTTCGTGCCTCACGCTTCGCACGTTATCGCGCCTGCATGTGACTTGCTTGTGACTCCACATTGATTGCGTGTTCAGGGTTGCCAAGAAGGCCCCCCTGAACGAGTGGGACCACACTACCTTCTTCGGGGGCACCGGGAAGGGCTACACCGACTACCCGTTCATGGACGCTTGAAAGTGTAGTATTTCCTAGGCAATGCGTGTTTTGCAGCAGGCGGAATATTTTTTTGCTCCGTTGACCAATTGAGGAGTCAGGACTGATTATATTTTTTCCGAGAACCTCCTGCCCGTCTGCCAGTCGGGCTGTGAGCTGAGTATCCTGCTAGCACGTGCAGAGACAGAGGATAACCTTTCGTGGACGCTTGAAAAGCGAACTCTTGAGGGGGGTGTGCTTTGAAGGGGGTCCGCGGCTGGGGGTTACCTCTTCGGTTGGCAACAAAGGTATATGGGAAAAAAGGTCCTTTTTTTTCCCATATATCTTTGGGTGGCAACGATGGGCGGCGGGGCGGGGGGGGGGTATTGTGGACATCCGTGTGGTCTCCCTTTAGAGAAGAGCGCGAACTTTACTTCGACCTTTACACAGTCTCCCTTAATTGTTGAAGTGTGGGAATCGCAAACAGATTGTTTGAGAGTGTTTGTTGTACCTCCACGGGAGGGGAAACTCAAAACGGTAACTGCAGACAGCAGCCCTTCTACGTGGGCCTGACGGTGTGAAACAGCCTGAGTAGCTAGGGCGTTTGCTTGCTGTATTGCACCTCCGAGCGCAATGTTGTGTGTGTATAGGGGGGGTAGTCATGAGACTGCGCGAGGAACCACGCTACCTGGGTAGTTTGTGGCTTGGGCGGAACCGGTCAAGGTTTCGTCAGTTGAATCATCTCGGCTCACTTTCGTAGGATTCGGATATATATATAATCGGATGTGTCTCTTGTGTTATTAGTCCCAAGGTGCGCGTGCCATCGCCCTTGACATCGCAGGAGTTGGAGTTGGAGGCCTGCCCGTCATCCTAGAGAAACGCGCAGAAGTAGTAGGTGATGTCCGACGGGAAGCCGCTGCTCTATATAGACTACTGTTTTCAAGGTAGAGAGGGGTGCTCAAGGTGCTGCTATTAAACTTTTCGAGAAACTGAGAGGGGACGAGGCGTCAAATGACGAGAAGTAGCCAGATGACAACAGAGTTTCGAGAAATGCACGAGAGGGTGTACCTGTCCAAATGCAACACGGTTCGTTCACAGGCCTCGCGAGGTTAAGCATGCCAAAGCAAGAAGTCAACAATTGACTGGCGGGGGGCAATCATTCGGGGATATCCGAGCTGCCGGCATTCGCTGCAACCACATTGAGGCCGTGCTCTGTATAACACGAAAGATATCGACACTTTCGATCCAATTGCACGTTCAGCGATGACCTATCAATCGTCCGACATGATGAGTGACAGGCCCTTTGTACGGCCGCAACAAGGTGTCCAGCCACTACGCACGTGCATGTTTCCGAGTTGCGTGCCCGTCTAATTGCGACACTGCCGTGCGTTTCTCGGACGCCCGCCACGGCATATTGGCAAACGCAAAACAGACTTTGCGGGTGTGCGCCCTCTTCGTGCAATTTCCCGCCAAAAAATGTTCGAGAAATCGTTATATTTTTCTTTCAACCACTCAAACCTACTCACAAACTCGAACACAAAACATCAAGTTTCACACGCTTCAGGATTGGACGTTGGAATGCCTTGAGAGTAGAGATGGGCTTGATTGAGCCTAGGGAATCACGGAACGCGGAGGCCACACAAGGCGATTTTCCGGGAACAGACCAGGGGCCCGAAGGGGAACCAAATTCGGTAAACACGCCGCAATTTCATGTATCACACGACGACTCGATCAGGTATTCGCAACATGATCAGAGCACCCGTGGGAGCTGCGACACAAAGCAAAATTGTTCGAGAGAATAAATTACAGGAACGGGGAGGGGGAGGACTGCAACCAGCCCTTCCGATTCAAACACTGATTCGAAACATGTACTTTGGCTAGGCACACCTGACATTTCAAACCGCTGCGACAGAGCATCCCTCGAAGCACACATTGTCGGACTTGAACGACAGAGATACGCAAGTGCCATGCGCATGTACCCTAGGACGGGGCACACAAGGGTGCTGTGCATATGCAAATGTATGATACAAACCAACCGCCCCAGGGTAGCTCTAAGTACCAATACACGTCACAGGCATACTGGAGGGTAGGTTCAGCGTTGTACCCCCGCAGCCTCGTCCTTGGCTTTCTGCTGCTGGATGTCCTGGAATCGTAGCGCTACCCTACTCGTGAGCTTGATGAATTTCTCCGCGCACACGTTGATGCACTTCGTCTCGCCGTCATCCAGTCTCTTGCTTCGGAAGCTCTGCGACGAGAGCGAGCGGCACGTCGCGGCAATCAGACAAGTCGGGGGAAACGGATAAGCGTGCGTTACGTATGACATCACACACGCCGGGCCAAATGGCAAGGCTCCATTACTCCACAAGAGAAAAGGTGGCGGTGTGCCGAAACTGAGGCGTTGGAACCGCCGTCTTGTTGAGAATGTTCCGAAAAAACATCATTTTAATCTGGCATCCTGTTCGTCGTGGAGTAATCGAGCTTGTGTGTGCAATCTATCCCAAAGGTGTGATATCTTGCACATGCACGGTAGAGTACTCGAGACGTCAAAACTTTTGGAGATCGTCAGAGGAGATTGCTTCCGATGCGCGATATTATGGTTGCCATCCGATAGTAGAGAGCTACGTTAATCCCTGGCAAAAAAAGCACCTATGTACGCCCTTGGCCTCTCCCGTGCACCTAGCCGCTCGAGCTGTGTGTTGGAGTCGGCCGGTAGGCGGGGTCGCCAAAACACGGAAGAGACTAGCGGGAGTTGCGGCTGTGGGTAAGGGGTGTTTGGGCAGAGGTACAAGCCCGCCGACCGACGAATTGCGCAGACCAGGTGCTATCGCCCAAAACGGCGCGCGATGAGGCTGCACATGGTGGCAAGCGCGTGGGGCACAAGGTTCACAAACATATCATCTGAAACCAGGTCATGTCGGCAGAAAATCAGCTACTCCTCATGCTGGACACATACACACAATGTAAGGTCGATGGTCAGGACGTGCACACAGCCTTAGCTCCCTGTCCGGCGCACAAACACAAAAACCCTAGCAAATCTACTGGGCTAGAGCGCATTTCAAGCAAGCAACGGTCTTAAATTTACCTTGGAGCATTCATCGAAGCATCGAAACACCAGGTTGTTGTACATGGCAAGCGAGTCTTTCCTCTGCCGTGTTTCCCGCGTTGCCGAACCAAGCGGAGGTTGGGTGAGAGAGACACGAGTGTACGCGGGGGGCGCGGGTCGGGGCAGCGCCAACGTCACGCCTTGCGACATCGTTTCCACGCCAATTGGGACGACGCGACAGGTAAACCAACCATAAATCACGTGTATGCGGCAGTCAGGCAATTAGTTTTCTTCCTGGATGTTTCAGACACACATCGCTCCGCCCCGGCATTGCAGGGATGCGAGGACATTTGCTCTAACGACTAAGGCATGCGTTTACATGAGTACACCCCCCAAATATAGTGCCTGGTTCCTCTGCCCGCCTTCGTGTGGGCCGTTCCCACCAAAAGGCACTCAGATGTTTGTTGCCTAAACTTGTTGCCTAATGCTTTGATGCCCACGGAACGACTCCCTCCCCGATTTTGCTCTCAGGAGGAACTAAGACGCTTGTTGTCAAGTGCCTACTGTTCGTCCCTAGCCTTCCGAAGAAGCACCGTCGAGAGAACCCCCCTTGTTTGCACCACCTTAGCGGTGTATGTAGTCTATAAACCTGAGCCGCTGCAGCTGTGTGTTCCCTTCGTTCACCTGTTGGCTTTCCAAGTGCTGCAAGAAGTCCTGTTGCTGGACTGGCGTCATTCCCTGCAGGCCCTCCATGATGCTGCGCCTGGCATAATGCGACCGACAAAGGAGCAGCACGAGATGTTTGGCACACACGAGAGCTTCACCAACACAGCAGAGACGAATTTGTGGAAGCTGGGAGAATTTTGTGTTTCAATCCTACTCGCGCTGCAGACCAGATGGAAATGCAAGAGTAGATGCTACTAGCAGTTACATAGATGGGCCAGACCCGCCATTACCATCCCTGTGCCTAACACCCTAAAATGCCACTGAATTCCGCCCTCATTTAACGTATTGCTGTATTGCTGTCGCGGGTCCTACAACGAGTCATGTACCTGGGTCAGACCCGCCATTACCATCCCTGTGCCTAACACCCTAAAATGCCACTGAATTCCGCCCTCATTTATTCATTTAACGTATTGCTGTATTGCTGTCGCGGGTCCTACAACGAGTCATGTACCACTGGGGGTGATATCAAGCGTACATGGAGGGAGGTGTAAGGCAGAGTAACGTGCGTGGAGGATTGGGTACTACAGCAGTACAACCACAGCAATTATTAGATTCCACTGATGACCTATTGTTCCAACCCTCCTGCAGTTCAATACCCATATCATCGCCGTTCGTACACTTGCTCGAACGAACTCTGGCGTCAACTCTTAGCACTACCGACTGCTTGAGGTGCTGTGCAGCGCGAACAGCAGTCGGTGTGTTGCAGCTGCAGTTGCCAATCAACTGCTGTACCCGCGGCTTATGAGGACGAAAGCAGCAGTCGATATAGCATTCAACCGATTTTTCCTGACTTTCGTGAGGTAACACAACGCCGATACGGGTGAGGGAGGCGAAGCCTACGGCACTCTAGCACGAGAGAGAGGGCGGCGTAACACTGCTTGTTGTACAGTAGTCAGGGCGGTTTACGGCGCCGGTGTAGTAGTACTTTTTTTCCTGCTCCATTTCCGCAACCACGTACGCCAGACCAAGCTACTTCACGACAGATCTGATCGCAAACAACAGAAGACAATGACCACCCACCTGCGACGTGCCCGACGTGCCTGCTGTGTGTGTGCCGATGCCAGCAACAACCACGCTCAACGCGGAGAGAGGGGCTCCGCGGAATATAGTACCCTCGTCGCTAGGTCTTTCCCATTTTGCGTCCCCCGAGGAAAGGCAGCAGGCAGCAGAGACAGCAAGACTGCACAACGCAGACCACGGCAAACGTTGGCTGTGATACAGCAGTGGGGATTTCCGCGGGCAGAGGAAAGAGAGATAGAGAGCGGAAAACAGGCGAACACGGGCGAAAACAATGGAAGCCCTTCGGCGGGAGGCACACCGCCTGGAAGCCGACCTTGAGGTAAAGTGTACACACCGCCGTGGGCCGTGCCATGACTCTTGATCATTCCTTTCGTAGCGGTGTTCTTTGTGTGTGCTGTACTCGCTCGCGTTCCCCCCTTGAGAGTTGAGGGTGTTACTTCCTGCTCCTGTCGCCAAGAACCGTGTGTATCCGTCCATGCTCCACTGAGTTTTGAACTTGCCTATGGAAGGCCTACGCAATAGTATGCACGGCAGTGCGGCAGTAGTGGCAGGGAAATTCTGTGTGCTTGGTTGCTCCGCATTCTCCGTCTCGTGAGAGTATTTAGAACGGCCAGCTCCAGCGTGTTGCGGGGGGGCACTACATACAAGTACGGTAAGTACATGTAAGCAGTACACGGTGCGCTTCACGAGTAGGCGACGACTTGCAGATTCATCGCTCTAGACTCGAAAAATTGTCACCTTCGCTGGTTGGGTTTGTTCTCCGTGACATATATTCATGAACTCCACACTCACTCACCCTAACCGGGCAATAGGCGCGGGGTAGCAGAGAACGACGGTGTTGTACAGGCGTTCGCGTACACATGGAGATAAAATCAATACGAATGCCGGCGATATCAGTCGGCAGTTGATCCTGCAACAACTCAAGAGCGCAGCAGCAACAACAACAGCACCACGAGCAAGCGGTACATGGTGCCCTGCCGGCTCTCTGTGGGGCCGTCGATTCTCGACGCGGCACGGGCGATCGGTTCTCCTTACCCTGCCGACGGCAGGCCAACTTGCCGAGAAGGAAAGGCATGGGCGTCCTATGTTTGGGGTGGCGGCGCGAGTACTGCGCTATCACGCTCGCAGGCTCTTGTCGAGAGCGTTTCTGCACAAAGGGCTGACTGAAGTTCCTTGTAGTAGTTAGAGAGGAGACGTTGGCCAAGGCGAGGGGAGCCTCGCGCGTCTAGTCCATCACACCCATTACATCATGTATCTGTGTAGTCCCCGGGAGAGATCGGAGATCCTTATCCTGCGGAGACACACACAACCATGCTAAGCCGGCGTGTACGTCGTGAACTACGTAGCGTAGACTGCCCCAACCGGCCGGCGAACGGCAAGACGCTGGCCTTGCAATACAGCCGAACAATCAATAGTACACTCTTTGTGCGTGGTGAGCCCGGTTTAGCGACCGCTGGATTTCCGCGGGAATCTGGTCGCTATTCAGGGCAGGTCGTTGTTGCCGGCCAGCGGGCGTAAGTCGGGGTGCAGCGGTGCCACTCGATTTTGTGGTCGCTATGAAGTAGAGGTCGCTAAACAAAGGGCCACTATTCGAGACCCCCCACTGCAATTGGTCCCCACCGACAACCACACTACCAGGAGTGTCCCGGGAGGGGGAAAAGTTAAGGTTGATGCCTTTTGAACGCGTCCGTCGACGTGGTGCTGCTGCTGTACGTCGTTTGACCTACTTGGAGCCAAGCGTGTAGACACACCAGAGGCTAGCTCCGTGAGGAAAAAAATTGTAGAGCACGTCGATGTCGCCCGTCGCTTGGCCTACATAGCAATACTCTTTGAAGCGGAGATTGTTTTCGTTCTTGCCGCTGTTGGTGTGTTTGGCCTCGGCCTGCGTTGCTGAACCGTACCTGGGACAGACGTCACCATACAGCAGTATCCCCTCTTCCACGCCGTCTTCGAGCCTGTAACCCTTCTATGATCACACGATACCTCATGTGTTTCTTTTCTTCTTCCTAGTTCATCACCAGAACGTTTTGTCTTCCTGCGTGTTTAGTGTAGTGGTTTACCTTCATCCTGTCCCCCACCCCCTTTGGGTTGGAGACCTCTAACAGCGCCGCCACGTAGATACACCGCTGAAGTGTGTTTCCTCCACCCCTCGGACGTGCCTATCGGCAGGGTGTTCACGCAGATGCGTGCTGTGACCCCTGATAAAATTGTCGGCCATTGCCAAACGAGCGCCCTCTCTGTGTGCGCTTGCGTGTGTGCTGTTGACGCGATAACTCGTTGATCCTGCGACAGGTCAAGACACAATCGTACTCGAGGCTGGCCCAGCGGGTGAACTCGGACATCCTCTACGATGCAGGTGTGGCGCTTAGAGAGAGCTACGCCATGACCCCACCTCAAGAAGTGATTTATTCCCATATTTACGATGACTCGTGATTTTGTTGGGGCCAGGTGGTTCAGCAGCTTCGGCCCTATCGATATCCCTTGGGGAAGAAATCGTGTCCGCCCTCGCCTGCTGCAGAAACACGCCTTCCAACGCGTGCGATTGGCGGCCCCATCGCGTCTGTGTTGTGTTTTTTTTTGTTTACAGAGGACCCAGTGGATAGCACCCAGGAGCAGCTCTTGGCGGGGGAGATTGACGAGCTTCTATCCGCGGTGAGCGTTTGACGGCTATCGTGGGGTCGACATTTTTCATGCTGGGTGGTTTTGGTTCGAAGTGCCATGAAGAGAATGGGAAAAGTCGTGGCTGAGGACCCCCCCCCCCCCTCCGCCCAAGAGGCACGAAGTATCACTCCATGTCCCGGCCCTTCAACCCCATATTTTTCGCTCTCGAAAGGATGGTTCTGATTGGGTAAGTAGCACACTTAAACTGCTACAGGTGGGCATTTGGGGGGGCGTCGTCGGAGGAAGCACGCCGTGCAAGGTTTTCCCCTCGTTGTGGAGAAGGTGTTGAATCGACGACCACAAGGGAATTGACCGCATTGTCCACTGGGTGTTTTCCGCCGCCTCTCTCTGTACCATCTACCCGTACACTCCTCCCATGATTGTCTCCGCCGCCTCCGGATGCCTGCACTCTTTTTCGAGCCTTCCTTTCTCCTTTGAACGACGCCATTCTTCAGAGTTTTGGCTTGGGCATGAAGGGCCTGCGTGCTGCCACGCTTCCCATTCGTGCACAGCCATTATTGTGCTATACCCTTTCCTGGGTAAGGTCACTTCCACCTGTGAACGTACAGCAGTACTAGTGATCCCTGTTCAAGGCTGCATAAACGAGGTCGGTCGCCCTGTATACGGCCAGTGAAATCGCGTGCCATGGACGGAATGTTCAAGTTTTTTCCTACTCTGAATGGTTCCGGGTGCCCGGTATCTTGCCCGCCAAACCCCTTGGCACTACTATGCAGCCTTACACAGGTACCTCTGCTGCTGCTGTACCACGCTTGCTTTCTTTGCCAAGCATCCCGTCGGCACTTCGTCGCTTCTGTACACGTTGGGTGACCTTACTATCCTTGGAGGTACCCGGCCGGCATCACTCCTGTGTTGGTGTTTTCCGCTTCGTCGTGCCCGCTGTATGCACCCGCCCGCTAAACGATCTTCTTGTTGTCTCCCTTTCTGCTGGCTGAAACGCTTTTTTGTTTTGTATAGCTGGGAGATTGCAACGAGCGAATGGGCGCTAAGGTTGCTAAGGGGGCACGCAAGGCAGACTCGGCCATGCTGCAAAGGTGAGAGCCCCCTCCCACCCACCCGGCATGTGTCATGTTATCCCCTCCAGTTTATGGGATGTGCCATGGGATATACCGCATGGTATGTGGTTTTTTGTGTTGGGTAGCGTTTGGGTGGTGCTGATACCATTCGTCGGCCAGATCCCTCCTGCCCCTTGCCGCAGACAACATTAATAGGCGTGCTGGCATGGACTATGTAGCGTTTGTGTTCGAAGTGTTGTTACTGCTGTTGGTGTTGATGTTGTTGCTGTTGCGGACCTTGATGCTTCTGTTGATGCTGCTGCTGCTACTACTGTGGCGGATGTGATGTTGATGATAATGTTGTTGACATGAACACTCGTGCGATTCCAGGGCCCGTGCATGTTTCATCGTCGGTGCTGCTTTTCCTAGGGTTACATGGCTGTGCGTCGCGTTTCTTTACCCTTCTATGATATCGCTACAATACCCCCACCTCGTTCTCTTGCAGCGTACAACACCCTTGGCGGTGCTGGACGTATGTATCCCGGTCGCAGGCCGAAGGCGAATGCGTTTCCCTTGTGTCTACTGTAGGTTGGTTGATTTCTCTTGTGTGTACTGTAGTTTGGTTGATTTCTCCTTTGTCTACTGTAGTTTGCTTGATTTCCCTTGTGTCTATTAGTGTAACTTGGTTGATTTCTCTTGTGTCTACTGCTGTAGTTTGCTGTTTTTTTTTGTTGGTTCTTGCGCTCTTCGCGGAGGTTTGATGCCATCTCATCTGTGGATCAACTGTTTGGCACTCTTTCTGTTGCCCGGCGTCGGGGTCGGTGGTTTCTGTAACCGTCGCAGCCGTCGGTTGTACCGCTCGTGAGGCGACTGCTGTCTGTAAATCTTCCCGTTTGATGTTGTCGCTTTTCACCAGCGCAATTTCCGGAATTTCGAAAGCAAGACAGTCTCTACAAAGCGGAAGACGAACCAGCAAACAAACAATGCCTAAGCCAAGTGTCCAACCTGGTGAAGGTGACTGGCTGCCGTCTTTTCCGCTGAAAGACTTTCCGATTTCGCTGTGTGTTTGCGACAAGAAAGACTCTACTGCTGGGAGGCTCGACCCTCCAATAGGCTCCCCTTTAGTCGCCCGATGCGCGTGGGCTGCTGTTGTTGTTGAATCCCAGATATCGGGAGATCCTGTTCGACTTCTCAACGGAGTTCAAGAAGACTTCCGCGGCGTTGCAGCGCAAGAGGGACACTACGGAGCTTTTCAAGTCGTCCAGGTGAAGCCTGAGTTTTTGAGTTGTACGTAAGGGTTCGGTGTGATGGGGGGTTTCGCAAGCGTGTGCAATGGAAGAGGCGACTGGACAGTTCGAGTCTCTCGTGCGGTTCTTTGTGCACAAAGGGTGCCCCTTCGGTGAATGATTTGGTTCTAATTCTTATGGCGTTTTTGTCGTTGGGCCCTGAGAGCGGAAATGGGGCCTCGTGCCTCGGACTCGGTTCTGATGCGAACCGTTCGTGTGTACTGATCATTTTATGGTTCCTTGCAGCTTTGGTAGAAGGGAGGGCTGACCGGAAAAACACTTTGAGCGTCAACCCTCAATGATCTGTCCTGAAGGGTTACCGCCAGCGTACTCTCACTTGTTGTGACCGTCTGCCATCTCTACGTACAGAAGGCTGTTCCAAAACACCGACCCCTTTCGGCTGCGCGCCAAAAGATGCCTCTTGCGACACAACCGATAGGGATGTTCCGGCCGGACTGAGGGTTACTTTTCTCCCAGCGCTCTTTGCCGGACATCTCGCTGTGCCGCATGCATCGTTTTGTCTGTATCCACTCGTACCCTGACCGGGAAACAACATCATCTAGAGTACCAACGAGCCCATCCGGGTGCACTAAATTGCCTCCGCTATTGTAGCTGAATAGCACTGGAAATAACCGTTTCGCTGCTTCCTTTTTGTTGTTGTTGGCAGGGCCGATCGCGGCGGGGGCGATGGGACGGGGGATTTCGAGCAGGAGCATCTCCTCCGGGAGCAGAACGCCATCCACAACTCTCTCCAGAGCGCCACGGGTGTGCTAGGGTGAGGCGAACGGCCGGCTGCTCTTGTAGTTGTCGTGGCCGCTGTCCTACAGTAGTCCCTGCTTGCTTGTTGTCCGAGGGCCCACTAAGCGGTGGGATTGGTTGAGCCTAGAAGCTCGAAAGGCCGCTTGTACGTGACCCTTGGCCCGGTAAGAGCAGCGAAAGATCTGAAATCTCTCGTCTCGTCGTGAGAGCGGTCTCTGGCCTAACCTGACCCCCCTCTGCCGCTGCCGCTGCTGCTGCCGCTGCTGCTGCTGCTGCTGCTGTCGGGGTGACTTCTTTTGGCAGGCAAGCCGCGGAGGCGAGGGAAAGCTTAAGGCATCAGCGGGCTACCCTGGGAGCCGCATCGTCGACATTGTCGTCCATGCAGGTGCGTCCCATACAGTGTCATGAGAAGCCTCCCTCGTGTCTGGCACGTTTAGTTTCGCAGAGGTGCGTCCTATATCATGTCACGGGAAGCCTGGTAGTAGACTATGCACTCGTGTATGGTGCGTTTAGTTTTCCTCTAGCGTTTTTGCGCGGCATCTGTACGCGATAGTATTGGTCGCCAATAGGTCCACAAGAAGCCTACATACGTGTATGGCGCGTTTTTCTGTTCCAAGACCCTTGTACACGATACGGCGTCTGTACGCGATATTTATCGCCAAGGGTTTTTTTTGCCCACCTCCCGGACTCGTGGCTCATGCTCAGCTCTCCCTTGGTTCCTGCCAGGCGTATTCTTCTGCCGTTCGCTCGCCGATTTCGATTGGTCGGCCGGTCTCGTGTTGTGTATTCCGCCGCAACGCCGTCTTTGGGTAGTTTTCTCTTGTGTTCCGTTGCAACTTCTTTGCGGCCTTTCTTCGTGTATTGCGCTGCAACGATTTCTTACTGTCTGTTCTTTTGTGTTTCGCCGCAGTATGTCGCGGTATTTTCCGTGCGTTCCACCGCAACATCGTCTTACGTCTTAATTTAATTATTTCCTTTGTATTCCGCCGAAACTTTGCGGAAAATTTTGTGTGTTCCACCGCACCTCGTCTTCCGGTATTTCTCTTCTGTGTCCCGCCGCGCGTCTTTGCCGTCTTATTTCGCGTGTTCCTCCGCAACGTCGTCTTCGCGGTAACATTTCGTGTGTTCCGCCGCAAAATCTTCTTGGCAGAACCGTTTCCCGGCAATAAACCGAGTGGTAGAGGCGATCCAGAAGAAGAAGGCCAAGGACCGATTGATCATCGCGGCCGTCATGGCCGCCTGCATATTCTTCACGTTCTGGTACAAGGGCTGGCTCTTGTAGGCCACCTCTGCGGGGTACTCCCAGACGTTGTGTTGTTTTTTTTCCAGTGGGGGGGGGGGGGGGGGGGGAGG